GGATTTATTCTTTATTAACCTGTAATTAAAGATAAAAACAATTATTAGTGGTATATTTATTCGATTTATTCTTTATTAACCTGTAATTAAAGATAAAAACAATTATTAGTGGTATATTTATTCATATAAAATAGATAATGAGGGTTAGTGGTATATTTATTCATATAAAATAGATAATGAGGGTATAAAATTGTAATAAAATGTGATTATTAATCTTTTAGAATTAATATGGGTTTAAATATTTTTTTACACAATTATTTCCATCTTTTAAGTCTTTGTTCAGAAATATTATGAGCATAAGTTATTGTCCTAACCTTTTCTATAGTGGATTTAATTTCACCAAATGCACTTTGAACAATTAAATTTAAAATATGGCACATACATCTAATATGAAAATCATCACCATGACATGACAATAGCAAAGATGATTTGATATGATCAACGACTACATTATTATTACTTGAAAAAATATTTTTTTTCTAAAATTTCTAATTTTATAAGTTATTCTATTATTAAATTTGTAATATTAATGCCACTATATGAATCTTCAAATGTAATAAAAGAAATAATTTTTTAAACATTTACCAATTATCATCAATCTAGTGTGCTGTGATACATAAATAACCAGTTTGTGCTCTAGATGTTCAAATATCAGATGTTAAAGAAATTTTATAGTTTAAATTTTGAAAATAAGAATTTTTTTTGCTTGTTCCTCGTGATAATATTTCAAAATATCACGTTGACAAGATTGACAAGAAATTTTTTTAAATGTGGGATAAAAATCATCTGTAATCATATCTTTAAATTCATCATCTTCTATTAATTTAAAAGGAAAGTTTTTAATAATAATCAACCTGATGATACATTTCATTGCTTTAATTGCGTCATAGTTCCAACTACCGAGACTACCGGAGGATGAGGATTGATAGAGTAAAGATTGTCGGATATCACCTTGAGGCGTTGCCTGACCTCTATTGTGCTTTTCTAAATGGCGTTTGAGGTGGTTGGTGCCGCTTTTTATGATGAGCTTGAAAAATATGGCCGCACAACGCACACTTAGCCGTCTAGGTGAGAAACTTACCATGTTGATCCCCGATGACTTCTATCTTCTCGCAGAAGTTCCACACATTGGTTCTCGGCCTTTTAGGAGCTCTATGTGCAGAATTATTACCACCAGATTCGTGATCAATATCAGTAGGAGGAGTAACTATAGCTCTTGTAGCAGGAGTATTAGGACTCGTTTCAACATCGGGAGTTAGGATTTGACCTTCATAATCAGAGGAGGAAGCTATTTGATTGAAGAATTAGAGAGCAAAAGTGAGAATAATAAACTATTCGAGAGCATAAAAAATATGGATGAGTTTTGGATGAGAAAAATAAATGAAAACTCTCTCTATTTATAGAGACAACCCCTTAGCCAAATGACCAAAATACCCTTAAATTATGGCAGTTTTTGACCGTTTTTGTAGGTATTTTGGTCAAAAGCGCAAAAATGACCATTATGACTGTTCGGGCTGGGCCAGGCCAGGCCAGACCAACGGTCACATTCGTGACCATTGTGGCTGAGCTGGGGCCGGGCCGGGCCATTCCGGCCCAACCCGTTTCCTCGCCGAGGTCCGGGCCTACCCGGAGCCAGGCCATGGCTTAGACCCGGCCCTTTTGCTGGCCGGTTGGGCCGGGTCGGTGTGGGCCCGGTGAAGCGGCCGGCTGCGGCCTGAAGCTCGGCATAAGGCCCGGATTTTGGGGGCGCATGCCCGGGCCGGTCCGGTCCGGCACGAACACCGGGCCGGGCCTTGGCCTTGGCCCAAATGGACACGCCTAGTCTTAACGCCATTTTATTGGTGGCGCGAGTTTAGTATTCCTAATTATGTTGAAACTTGTGTAGGTATTTTGAAATCAAAATAAGAAGTTTACAAAATAAAATTATATTTATAGATGGTGAGATATAACTTTCAATCTTACTTGATTTTAAACAAATCAATAGATGAAATTTACTAAATTTAACTTTTTGTTCCTTTCAATATAAGTGTGGCGACTTGGCGGTGTTGGCCCACAACCAATATTGGGTAGGGTTTGACCCAACCTGATAGAATTTGGGTCAAGTTTGGCTCGGTTCAATCTCAATGTGGGCTGAATATGAGTCTATTTCTGAAATCCAGACCCGAACTCGGGCCTGGCCTTCAATCTTTAATCCAACTTGGATCGAATTCGGGCTCAGACTGAGTCTGAAACCTAACTCGCACCCAATCTCTATAATAACATTAGTTTTTAAGTAAAATAAATTAGTTATTAGTAATAACTAACTATTTGTAACTATTTAGTCATCTAAAAAATAATAACAAAGTTAAATGTGTACGTTTTAAAGCAAAAAATTGATAAGTCCAGCCCAAGACCTTTCTTAAGATGCAACAAAATTGCTACCAATGGGTTCAAATTCATCTAAATTAATATTTTAAAAAGTTAAAAAATAAAAGAAAAAAAGAAAGGAAAAGAAGTAGGTTGAGTTGACCAATCCGTCCTGACTTGAGTAGGCCACGTCAATGGGCTAGGTTGGCTCAGCTTGATCTAGTCGAATAGGCCGAGTCAATGTGAGATAAACAAAGTTCATGAGGCTGGGTAAAACATACTGAAAGTTTGGGGGAATGGGTGAAAATAACCCTTGTGAAAATTATAAGTTTAAATATTTGTCAAATTTACTAATAGATAAAGGGGTGACTTGTAAAATTTTTCTTTTAGCTTACTTCTTTAATCAAAGAATTTAAATAGCAAAATGGCTAGATTGACATATTTTTTCGAGGATTGGTGACACGTTGGTATATTTTCTTTTAGTTTTGTCAGATTGGTATATTTTTTCAACTCCGGCGCCATATAAGCCTTAAATTTGGCTGTTCCGGCCAGGGCTGATGGGATTTTTTGCCGGAACAGTAACAAAATTTGAACGGAACAGTAACTAATTTTGGTCGGAACAATAACTTCGGCCAAATTTAAGGCCTATATGACGCCGGAGTTGAAAAAATATACCAATCTGACAAAACTAAAAGAAAATATACCAACGTGTCATCAAGCCTCAAAAAAATATGTCAATTTGGCCATTTTACCAAATTTAAATTTATTTCTGTAACATTAAATTTCTAAATGACTCGTTTGGAAAAACATACCCATTAAATCTTGAAAAACAATGAAAATTAAACTTTTGCCCTAACCTAAAATATCTATGAAATTTATTAGAATTTGAAGTTAAACATTAGTAAAAATCTTAATGGGTGAAAATACTTATCCCTTTACTAAAACATCCTTAAAATCAATTAGAATTTCAAAAAGTGACTATTTATTCCTATAGTATAACAAATTGCCGCATGACGACTTTAAGTTTCTCCCTGGCTTACTATATGGTGACTTTAGCTATGATGTTTATTCGTATGAAAGTGAAAGGTGAAAATGTGAAAGTGAAATGCATTTAGCACTTCAGGTGTTTGTTTAATTAAAAGTGGTTGTGAAAGTGAAATGTCAAATTGGATCCACATCAGATTTAATGCAGATTTAAGTTTCTCGTGCTGAAGTCAGATGAAAGTGAGAAAAGTAGGGACCACTCCGATTAAAATAAACTATTTTGATTAGTTTTAAGTTCTTTTCTTTCTGATTCCGGTGGTAACAACCGCCTCTTTTATCTTCGTGCTTATTTTCTTCCTCCGTTAATTTCTATCATGTTCGTATATTTATTCTACAAATTCGGAAGCATCTAACCTAGGCTTTATTGATCTTTTTCTACATCTCTTTTTTGGATCATGAGTGAAGTATTAGAGGGGAAACATTAATGACTTCACTTTTGTTTTTTATAATCTTGTCTTTAATTTCAGTTTTAGATACATTCGTTTATGGATATCTTTTTTAGAGTTTTCATAAGATCTTATATTTTTATTTATTTTTTATTCTAGATCTAATTGAGAAAAAAAAAATCGTGAAGTATTTTACTTTGCCGATTTCATTTATATATGTTGGATATTTTTCTTTGCAATTAATGTATCCCCTCCCTAAATTACAAAGCATCATAGAAAAATAGGTCAGCAGGGGGAGAGTGTTTTGTAAATTAGTTTTAAATAAATAAGTAATATGATATTGCCACATCATTTTTGCTTTTTTAGTGACAAGAAAAAAAATTATTTTGTAAAAAACCATTGTATTTTACTTACATGATGATGTGAATATATCTTTTCACTTGCAAAAAGGATGTGACTTTGACTTTCAATTCACTTTCTGTTTTTCAAACACCCCCCTAAACCACCAAAAAAGGAGGGATATCGACATTAGAAAATAGTAGTTAGCATGAAAACCCTTTTTGTCTAATGTTAATCATGATCACAAATCCTTTTTTAACTAAGCAAAACTTCAGCGGTGAATATTTCTGGATCCTATATATTTGAAAGTCACCAGGCACCAAAAAACTTGTATCTCTCATCAACCTACATCCTTTTCACAGTCTTAAATTATTTTAAAATTAGTCCCCCAGATCAAGATTAGAAATAGCAATTAGAGGAATAAATTGGAATGATTTGAGGGATTATTTTCAAAGCAACTTAAGAGCTGGGGACCTAGTGAAAATTGGGCTATTTGCATATGTAAACCTTACAGCATCGGTATTTGCAAAAATACCCTCTAAATCTTAGTATTCGCAAAGCTACTCCTTAAATCATCAATTTTGCAAAAAAAATGTATACCTAAAATCAACAAATTATCAACTTGATGCTAAAAGTTTGACTATTTGGTTGATAGTTTTTGCATTACGATCACAAATTAGCTTATCAATGATTAACCGCGTGCATTGAGGGTGAATTTTTTAAAAATTGATTATTCAAAGGGTAATTTTGCAAGTTTTGAGATGTTCATGCTATTTTCAAAATTTGTCCTTTCAATGCTAGACTAATTTTATTTAAAACAGTATGAAAGAGCTAGGGACTATTATAAAAAAAACCCATTGACATACATAACCCAGTTCCCATCGATCGAGAGGGGGAGGGAGAGAGAGAGGGGATGGGTGGGGATCGCGAGGTGTGCGAGAGCTGCATGGAGGGGGTGATAACGGAGATGGTGTCCGCATACTCCTCCGTGAAGCCCGACCTCGCCGCTCGTCGAATCGAGGCCATCGGTTACCAGGTCGGCAACCAGCTCTGCGAGAGGTATAATCTTTAATTTTTTTACCCCATTAATTTTAAAAAGGCAAAAAAAAAAAAAAACTAACTAATATTTTCTCAATCTATGCATGCTTTGCTTTTTCTCGAATTAGCTAGATCGTCGGGATCTTGAAAACTCTAATCAGTTGCGATCACCTCACACCCTCGCTTGATTTTGAGGAACCGATTTATTGTGTTGTACGTAGCAATTCTAGGCTTCTGAAAAATTTCCAAGTGTCGTGCCTCGAGAAACCAAACCAATCGCCGCAAAAGATAAAGAACCAACCAAAATCAATAGCACAAACAATCAAACACCAGTTTTACGTGGTTCGGCAAGATGCCTACGTCCACGGTACAAGGAGGGGGGAGTTTTTACTATTAGAAATCAAGGGGATACAACTAAGGTTACAAATCTCTCACCAAAACCCTCAACAAATCACTCTTGATCTCTCCCAATTGCTCCAACAATAGAAGCCCAAGAACTCACCCTCAATGGCTGCTAAAACCCCTTGCTTACAAACCCTAAAACCAAGTTTGGTATTTATAGAAAACCCAAACGAAACGGGTCTGGAAAACAGACCCAGCCCAAAACCGCTTCGCGGTCGACCGCGATCCATCGCGATCGACTGCCACGGTCGACCGCCCTCAATCCCAGAACAGCATCGAATTGCATCCAGTACGCCATGGCAACGGACTCATGACAACGGACTCCATCCACAACATGTCGAGACCCAAACGGGAGTGCGAACACTCAACCCCAAACCAACTGTGTCTACTCACCAAACAACTGAGCCTACACCGACTACACCAAATGCCTCACTTGCTGAGACCTAAATGGGAGTGCGAACACTCTCCCCAAATGTCGATGTCGCTCACCAAATCGGCTGCATCAGAAAACTGACTGCCTACGTATCCTCTCCAAGGAATCAAGCCTTCACGTAGTTCACCAAATGGCCTCCAAAAGGCCCTCAATCCAACTTGCAGCTGATAGCATCATCAACGACCCCAAACTGAAACGATCCAAACACCTCCACCTGAGATGTAACAATGGCCGTGTCCAAAACATATCCACCAGCTGCATCCAAATCAACTACCTCATCATCTGCACCCATAAATAAATGACTCTCACGCTGTGCCACCTCAGCTGGAATCCCAAACAATGCAGAATGACCTGGAGTATGTAGGAAAATCCCCACCCAATGTGGAGTAGCATCAACCTCCACCCGTCGCGATATCCCTCTGACCTGATCAATACTCTTCACCTGCCGAGAGTCCAAAGTGACAAACCTGCTCAGACCAAACTCAGAAGCTCCCCACTGATAGCTGAACGAGCCTCTGAATCCCAAATGCGCAATCGGATCCAATCTCACATCCCCGATGTGACCAAGTACTGGGTAGTCAAATATCCGACGCCAACCAAAAACTGAAGCAGCTCCACCAGATCTAACAACTCTATACGCAGCAGTCGGCAACTTCATAAGATGACCCAAACCTGTCGAAGCCTGAATACCAGATCCACTGCTCGACAACCAATGCCGATCCTCCTCCAGAAAAGAACGGCTCACTAAATCCACCATCTCATCAAGTCGCCCCACTGTCTCCTCTCCTCTGAAGTGTCTCCAACTGCCATGAGCTCGGCACCGATGCAAGAAAGGACTCCTACTAGAACAAGTACGACTGGTAACCTTTCTGCCCATACACCTCCTCCAACTATTGCGGACTACTAGGGCTTTATACCAACGGGATTTGGTTGCAACCCAAATATGCCTAGTATAATCCCCAACATAGGAAACAAAATAACGATTACCTCCCACTAATGCATACATGGAAGGCCCCCCAATGCCTGACTGAACACCTCCAATAAGACCCCTCGATCGGTGGATAGAAGTGCTGAACTCCACCTCGGTCTTCTCGCTCATCCCAATGTGCTCACAGGACTTCAATCTGCAGGTCATAGCACTCCTCGACAATCTGTGCACGGCATAACCAATAATATATCCCAGCACCAAACAATACCACAGTCTAGCCAAAGAAGTCGTCAGCGCTCTATCAATCACCGTGCTCCCAAGCAGATAATATAAGTTACTTCTCCTGACGCCCTTCATCACAATCATGGACCCCGATGTGACCTTCAAGCGAGAATCCGCCAAAGTCACCCTATAGCCTGCTGCCTCCAATACCCCAAGTGAAATGATGTTCTTCCTCAGTTGAGAAACGAACCTCACATCAGCCAACTCCCGGATCATCCCGTCACTCATCCGAATCCGAACGGTATCAATACCACCAATAGGGCATCTGTGATCATTACCCATGAGAACAACATCCCCTCTTTCCAACTCCTGAAAGCTGGAGAACCAACCCCTTCTAGGGCATATGTGGTAAGTAGCACCAGAATCCAACATCCACTCGGTGGAGTCGGCAACATCAACTGACGGAAGAGCTGGGCACGAATAGCCCGAAGAATCTGAATCTGAAACATCGCCACTAGCCTTGGCAACATTCACCTCTGAAGCTTGAATAGCTTTCCCCTTATTCTTCACGGTTTGCAATTTTGGGCATTCGCTTTCCAATGTCCATCCTCTCTACAAAAGGCGCACTGATTCCTACCAACTGCAGGATGTCCCCCTCTAGACTGCGACATCCTACCACGGTTTGGACTTCTAGCTCTTGCAACCAATGCCCCCGCAACCGGCTCAATGGAAGTCTCATTGTCCTTTCGAAGTTGATAGTTCACAAGAGCTGCGGTGACCTCACTATACGAAAGAGATGCATTCCCATTAATAAGAGTGAGGACGAATGTCTCATGTTCCTCGTCAGGCAAGGAACTCAATAACAACAATGTTTTATCCTCATCTTCAACAATGACATCTACGTTCGCCAAATCTGCAAGTAGCTTCGTGTAGTGGTTCATGTGATCACTAATGGATGTCCCTTTCTTCAATTGGAAGCGATAAAGCCTCCTCTTCAAATGCAAACGATTTTCAACGCTCTTCGTCAAATATTTGCCCTCTAGGACCTCCCAAATCTTCTTTGTCGAAGTTTCATTCATCACATCATATTTTAGATCTTGGGTAAGGCAAGACCTAATCACATCACACGCCGTTCTATTCATTTTATTCTAAACCTTTCCATCAACGTCGGCCAGTTTCCCGTCCAACTCCAACGTATCTTTCAAATTTTGCGCATGTAGCGCATCCATGACTTCACATCGCCAAAGTCCAAAATTATTTGTGCCGTTGAACTTTTCCACATCTATTTTCATAGAATGTATATTCAAACTTTGGACGGCCTTCACACTAGAAGAACCCTCCCCACTTTTATCTTTTCCGGCCATAATCTCAAAGCACTCAATAAACAATTGCGGAACAAATAGGAAATAGATCCAACTTGAAAAAGATAGAAACTTTATCACAAAGATTCCACCTTTATCACCAATCGAAGTTCTAGATGAACTTCCCAACTGATCTACACCTCCAAAAAGCCCAAACGTTGCCCGGAGCTCTGATACCACTTGTTGTGCCTCGAGAAACCAAACCAATCGCCGAGAAAGATAAAGAACCAACCAAAATCAATAGCACAAACAATCAAACACCAGTTTTACGTGGTTCGGCAAGACGCCTACGTCCACGGGGCAAGGAGGGGGGAGTTTTCACTATTAGAAATCAACGGGATACAACTAGGGTTCAAATCTCTCACCAAAACCCTCAATAAATTACTCTTGATCTCTCTCAATTGCTCCAACAATAGAAGCCCAAGAACTCACCCTCAATGGCTGCTAAAACCCTTTACTTACAAACCCTAAAACCGAGTTTGTGTATTTATAGAAAACCCAAACGAAACGGGTCTGGAAAATAGACCCAGCCCAAAACCGCTTCGGCGGTCGCCGGTACGGTCGACCGCCCTCCATCCTGCCGCCATCCGAAAAATCCAGAGAGTTCGGCGGTCGACCGCCACCAGAGCAGAAACATCTGCGGTCGACCGCGCCGGTCGACCGCCACCACCACCGAAGCCCAGTAAGCCTCGTGCACGAATGCGGACCTGCTGCCCAATTCTACACCAAGGGTTTTAGTTTTACGCAATGTGACGTATAGAAGCGTCCTTAGCTTGATAACACAAGGGAAATACTGTGTTCGAGGACGAAATCTTCAACCACGCACACGCGAAGGCTAGCATTTTATAGGTGGAAGGCAAGGTTAATTAAGACAGACAAGATTAATTCTATATCGCCTGATGGGTCGAGAGGCGCCAAAATAGGTGGTGATAGCTTGAGTGAAGCAAGGTAATGTGTGTATTCGGGAAAAACCATATAGGAACTTATGAATAACGCGCGATTTAACACAATACCAATAAATCACATCAAACAATAGATGAATAACAACCGAATGTCCTAAGTTGCAAATTACGATGACTAAAATGATATCGATCATCTTAAAAAAAAGCATAAGCTAATATAGTAGGGGCTAGATAGCTAGAGGCGAGAGGCAAACAATGCTTAGTCTTGCGTGCCTGGGGCAAGCGCCTGGACGCCTTTGGCATCTCAAACCCTCGGCTTTGCAAGATTCTTGTATGGCATATATATCACCAGGTTTTGAGGTAGAAAATTGCATTGCTTGTGTGCCTGACGTAATTGATGCATGGAAACTAATTAAATAGGGAATCTATCATGCCGTTGAATAAATCATAAAACAGAAAAAGATCACATGATAATTATATTAGTTTTAAATTTGGATTGAAGGATATGATGAGAAGCACATAGCAGTATCATGATTGCGATTCCAATAAGCATGAGAAACTTTGATAAAAATTGGGACCTTTTTGGAGAAAAGGAGGAAAAAAAAAATAGAGAGATTGATTGAGGGCTTTTGTCCATAGAATTACACCCAAAGATATAGGGTTTTCGCAAGACATGGAGTAAACACCAACATCCAATCACAATAACAATTTGTCAAATACTTTTGTGGGAATGAGCAGGGTGGAGAGAGGAAGGAAAGGGGAAAGCTGCAAGTCAATCAACGTGCAAGTGTTGACAAGCGGTTTGTGTTCCCCCTTTTCTCGTTTTCTCAATCAAGTGAAGAGAGGTACACATAGACAATTAGGTGGACACAATCGTGACGAAAAATAAGCCAAGCAACTTTTGGTTTTATTCTTCCACCACTTTAATTATGTGCCCAAAAATTCTGTTTCGCGAAGTTTTCTTAAAGGACATATCTAATATCAAGTAGAAAGCTAAGTTTAGTTGTTATCATAAACATTACTAATAAACCTTATTACCATCAGTTAATTATGTAACTGTTGATAATAAGTCCTATTGTAGTAGTGATTTATGTATTAGATATTTCCTCTACAATTTGTTCTTGTAGGTTACTTGGCATGTCTTCTCCTCCTCAAGGTTCTGTTGGTTACAAATGTTAGATCAATGGGAGTATTACTTTGGGTGCTAGCCTATAATGTAGCAAAACCTCCATAAGGCAGTTTTGCTTCCGAAGCCATTTGAATTGAACAATGCATGATAACCATTTTAGCAAGCATGTGAAGTAGAAGTTAGGACCTTGGTACCATTTATAAACCACCGCGAGGCTAAATAGGAGATAGCCTTATATAATCTTTAGACCTCTTGCATAGTACACAGTATTATATAATCTTTAGACCTCTTGCATAATACTCAGAATTTTTAACTTTATCCTGCAATAGTCACACCAAGAAAGGATGGATGACTTTGTTGTTTACTTTAGGAGGTCCCAAGGTTATTATCAAAGATATATTTATCAATTCCATTTGCAAAATCCTTAGTCTTTCCGAGTAACATAGCTTACAATTTTCAGCAATTTTCTCTTAATATGTAGGTATACTATGGGGAGACCCCGGTTCACTGATCATCTAGAGGCGATCAAATTCTTATGCAAAGATTTTTGGTCCAAACTATTCAAGAAGCAGATTGATAACCTAAAAACCAACAACCGTGTAAGCACCTACAAGCCCACAATTGCTAATAAAATGTATACCTTCATATCTGAACCATGTAATATATGTCTGTTACATTTTTTTTAGGGCACTTATGTTCTGCAAGATAACCGTTTTAGTTGGCTGAAACACATACCAGCTGATTTTTCTATGGAAAACATGGACTCACCAGCTTATAGTCATCAATCTTCTAGCAATGACAAAATGAATCATGCCATGAGCCTACATCTCTATTTCCCTTGTGGAATCATCAGAGGAGCGCTATCAAGTGTTGGAATTCCTTGTGCCGTTTCTGCTGATGTATCCAATCTTCCGGCATGTGAGTTAAATAGGCACTGGAAACTATTGAAGTTATTTCGATCCCTATACTTATCATTGCATTAAGGGTTAATTGCAGAGACCTTTTGTAATATCGCTATTTTGAACTTACGACCCCTCTGGTGTCATTGCTGCAGGTAGACCCCCTAGGGTGTTTTTTTTATTTTTCTTTTCTCTTATTAATTTCACCCAGGGGACAATATATGTCTACAGCAATTAAACTACAGGGGAAGCAAGTTCAAAACAAGACTGCAATTAACTTTACGTTAAAATTGTGCAGTATCATTCTCTTAACTATGCAATTTCGTGTTCATCATGGTGGTGGTCAGGTTCATTTGTGGTCCGTGTCAAGGCATAGACTTTTGCTTCAGATGAGGTGAACTAGGGAAATTGCGTCTGTGTTCAGAGTCTAGGAAGTTTGTCTTCCTTTTGCTGAAGCTTTATGGTTCTTTCGATCACGAGGCCATCGGATTAGCGTTCTCTCTTGATTTGAGCCATCCTTGTAGGGAATAGAAACTTTGAAGTGCATGTGAATATATGTCGCATGTAAGGTGACTTGACTGAGCCCTAGGCTGGTTATGTCTTATTTGTTTTGCCGAAATAATTATGTGATGATATCTTCATTTTTGGTTAATTTACCTCATGTTTCCTGTTGTAGCTCTAGTACTTTTATTGTGTATTTTGAGCCTCTTTGTGCATATAAACTCAACTGCATTTGTACGTGATTTAGTTAGTTGCCCGGGTTCTGACTTTTGATAGTTAATTTGTATGTGGAGGCAGCTCTATTGGTTCTAGGTACAGAAGAGGCCTAAAGGTGGCCCGTTGCTAGCATTGGACCATCATCATACAGGACTTAATGGGCCCAAAATGAGACAAAATCATCGGAGTCAATCAAGCCCACTGGGCCTCACAGTCACGTCGCTGTTTATTAGCATCACAGATTATATAGCTTATCATCGCGATAACCTAATCTCCTTCTCTTTTTGGCAAATGATTAGCTTATAACACACACTAAACTAAACTATTCAACCTCTTTATGTTTACGAATAAACAACTACAAAGAAGAGGCGTCTGGTACTCGACAGCGCAGCAATCGTGCGCGGCCCTGAAAACGCACGCACGCACACAAACACACGCAGAGAGAGCTTATCTTAAGAACACCCATAATATTATAAGTTGCATTGAAATGTCATCCACGTCCTCTGATAGCGACAAGGAATGACGAAAACGATAATGTGATGCAAGGAATAGAGGGTGACGATGAGAGAGGGTTTTTTTTAGTCCCACATTTGCGAATAATCATTTGTTTAACAAGCTTAATTGCCTTTGTTATCCACATTGGTTAGTGGATTTGGATACGCAAGCGCCTTTTTGGTTAACGTGCGTGCTAGTTTGCGTCATGCACTAATTTTTCAACCACTAAGCCTGACTAAAGAAAGACTAATGAGAAAGATTAGGAGGATTTTTTTTTTTTTACTTTTTTTCTTGTCAAAGCCAAAAGTTGAAGAAAGTTATGGGCAGAGTTAGTGCAATAATTAAGATGTTCCTGCAGGGCAGCAGAACTAATTGTATGGTAAGCTAAGCTGTTGGGAGAGAAATCGGGCACAATCTAGAGTTGATGGGCCCTAAACAGAAGTTAGTAATTAATTTTAACCCAAAAGCTATAGCTATTAGGTATTGACCTAAACTTTTATTTAAACTCATCACTCTTTCTTATCTTATCCGATGTTGGACTATACTCGCATATTAATCACCTTAACATAAGCAACCCTATCTTCTTGTGGCTAATATTTTTTGTTAATTTTAGACAAAGGCTTAAAGAAAAACTGAGATTTTTTTTAAAGGTTAGTAGTGGGGAATTATGTGGAGAAAAGAAAGACATGTGGTAATGGTACGAGTGATGGTACCACGAATTTGTACCTATCATTTGTGCGGTGAGAGGAAGAGAAAGAAGATTTTTCTTCTTTTTGTTCATGCGTTTTTTATCGTCTTTTTCGAATAAACAAAGTTGGAATAATACTAATTCAAGCAAGGTGATGCCCTATCAGAAAAAAGATAAATAGAAAAGAAAAGGGGCAATAAACTTTTTTCCCTTCATTATTTCTCTCAATCAATCAGAACTACTCTTGATCTGTAGACGCAATATATGCAATTAACATTATTCTTAAAAAATGGACATATAATTAGAGTAGGGAATGAGGAGATGCTTAAAGTTGTTGGGTGAATTTTGTAATGTAGGGTAGTGATGGGGGTCTTTAGACATGAATTTACATATAAAGTCACATACTTCTTTAGCTCAAAAAAGACGAAAGAAAGAAAGTAAGAGAGAGAGAGAGAGAGAGAGAGAGAGAGAGAGAGAGAGAGATTTTTTTTTCAAGATGCCACTCAATATATCCTCCTAACAAGTGACATGGAACTTTAACTTTGTTGTGTATGAGCCTAACATCCTATGAGTTCTCTTTGAGGAAAGAGAGAAAAAAAAGAAGAAGCAAGTATCCATTTGTGAGTAACTTAATCATTCTCTTATCTTGAACGTTGCATGGCAGCTAGCCACTAGTTTTTAGATTAGGTTAGCTCCCGGATCAGTCTACAGTTGGAACGTTAAGTACAATAAATAAGCAGACAATTATCATATTGGCAGAAATAATATAGAACTATGTTGTCAAAAAGTACATACTTCTCTTTTGCAATTTGATAAATGGTAGCAAAGACATCATCATGAACTTGTGACTCTCCATTACTTTGTGTATACTTACGTTTTCTAAGGTGAAGCTAAAAAATGAACTCAATACAATAGATACGTTATCGTTTAGATTGGAACTGCGTCATAATTACCCACAAGAAAGTATAAACTTTGAGCTCCTTTCTTGAGGTCTACTGTATAGGCAGTGAAGTCTAGGCCTGTCCAAACGGGACCGTCCGGCCCGACAAACCGGGCCTGGTGGCCTAGGCCTGGGCCCGAGCGGGTCGAGCACCAGACCGGCCTGGTCATTTTTTTTTTGCTTAAAATTTTATTTTTTTTGTTAAATTTTTTTTAAGAGTAAATAACAATAAATTAAGCGAAACTTTGATAAAAAATCAATCATATTATTAACCACTTGTAATTATATAATTTACACATACAAAAAAATATAGAAATTAAAATGGTAAAAATAAATTCTTTATTAATAATCACTAACAATTATAAATTTATTTTGGAATTTGTCGCATCACAATAGATAAATACATACCAACTAGGTTGATATCTACTCATCTATATCACTATCATTTGCAACTCTTTCCAAAACAATTTATCATAAATTTTGAGCTAAGAAATAAGACTTACAAACTAATAAATAATTTCTACTATTTATCTCTATCTTCTATTCCCAATTCTTCAAGTTTATCTTCAATAGTAGCCATCCGATTGATACATTGAGTTCTCTTCTCGTACCTCCACCTATCTTGTAGGCACATTACCGTCTGTACGGTAGACAGATTTGGCGATGTCATGTGGTCGTCGATCAATGTCTTGATGTGCTGAAGGCGGATTCCGAAGCTAACGCGAAAACATGTACTGTTAGTTAGTCACGAGCCATGATGAAAACTATAGGATATGAAACTGTTTCATATACTCTCTACCATTGCAAAATATCAAAACTATTATTTTTTGATTTTTTACTAAAGATGCAGTTAAATATTGTTCAATTTCAGAATCTTTCATTGATGATCCAGATCCAAATCCAAATCTACCAGTTAGTTGAGCTATCAATAATTCCCTATCAAAACACTTACCTTTGCCCCGACTTGAATTCATAGAAGCAGAACATGTAGGTTGATGTGTACTTACACCATATCTAGCTGCATGCTCATCATATAATCTTTGAAAATAAGTTCTAATAGTATTATGATGAGTAAAGCAATAATAGTTTGACCATCATCAGTGTCTATTATCATATTACCATACAAAGAATTTAACAAATTTTAAATGCCAACATCATTCAAACATGGATCAATAAAAACCACCAAACCAAATATAATAGGAATAGACCTAAAATATTTATTAAATTTACTCTCCATTTGAAAAACCATATTTCTAAAATAATTATCCATACGATAATTATTAAAAAAATTTGAATACTTAAAAATTGTAAAACATCTTGAATAATACTTGGATAATAACAACCAGATAATAATATAGTAACATCATAAAAAACTTGTAACATCTCTTTTATACTATATATAACTAAACATTCATCCTCGATTATTTCATACATATTACCAGAGCTAGAACTAGAAATATAAAAAGCAATAAAATTATTTATAATTTTTTATACTCTATTGCTACATTTAACATTGCATAGGTAGAATTCTACCTATGATTACATTTAACAATGCATAGGTAGAATTCTACCTATGATTATCATCTTTTGAAATTAATCTGGGTATAAAAGTTTTTTCTTTTACATAATTATTTTCATCTTTTAAGTCTTTGTTCAGAAGCATTATGAGCATAAGCTATTGTCCTAACCTTTTCTATCATGGATTTAATTTCACCAAATTCACTTTGAACAATTAAATTAAAATATGACATATACATCTAATATAAAAAAACATCACCATGACATGGCAATAGTAAAGATGATTTGATATGATCAACAACTACATTATTATTACGTGCATTATCTAGTGAAAGAGAAAATATTTTTTCTAAAATTTCTAATTTTATAAGTTCTTCTATTATTAAATTTGCAATATTAATACCACTATGTGAATCTTCAAATACAATAAAAGAAATAAAAATTTTAAACATTTGCCTATTATCATCAACCCAGTGTGCTGTGATACATAAATAACATGTTTGCGCTCTAGATGTCCAAATAAAAGAAATTAAAGAAAATTTACAGTTTAAATTTTGAAAATAAAAAATTATTTTTACTTGTTCCTAGTGATAATATTTTAAAATATCACGTTGACAAGATTGACAAGAAATTTTTTTTTAAATGTAGGATAAAAATCATCTGTAATCATATCTTCAAATTCATCATCTTCTACTAATTTAAAAGGAAAACAATAAACCTAATGATGTATTTCCTGGCTTTAATTGCGTCATAGTTCCAACTACCGAGACTACTGGAGGATGATGATTAAGAAAGTAAAGATTGTCGGATATCACTTTAAGGCGTTGTCTAACCTCTGTTGTGCTTTTCTAAATGGCGTTTGAGGTGGTTGGTGTCGTTTTTATAATGGGCTTGGAAAATATGACTGCACAACGCACCCTTAGCCTTCTGGGGATAAGAAGCCTACTATGTTGATCTTTGGTGACTTTTATCTTTTCAAAGAAGTTCCGCACATCGGATCTCGGCCTTTTAGGATTTCTCGGTGCAGAATCATTACCACCGGATTCATGATCAACATCGGTAGGAGGGGTAACTGTAGCTCCTGTAGTAGGAGTATTATGACTTATTTCAACACCGGGAGTTAGGATTTGCCCTTCATAATCAGAGGAGGAAGTCATTTGATTGAAGAATTAAAGAGAAAAAGCGAGAATAAGAAAATATTAGAGAGTATTAGAGAGAAGTAGATGAGTTTTGGATGAGAAAAATAAATAAAAATCCCCTCTATTTATAGAGGCAACCCCCTAACCAAATGACCAAAATACCCTCAAATTTTGACCCTAACGGTCACAAATATGACTGTTGTGGTCGGCCCGGGTCGCGCCAGTCCGGTTAGCCTGGCCATTCGTGACCGTTTGACCCCCCCCGGGCCCAGCCCTTCCTGTGACGCCCCGCCCCGGAATCCCGGAGTCGGTACGCTACTAGATCTGATGGACTGGCCTCACAAACCACCACATGTCTTTTCAGCACGTTTTTGTCCTCACTCACGCGCTCCCTGGAAAACTTCCCAGGGGGTCACCCATCCTAGAATTTCTCCAGGCCAAGCACGCTTAACTTTGGAGTTTCTAAGAGTTGGGTTCCCGAAAAGAAGATGTATCTTGGTGGTATGAGTATTCTAATCAAATCTATCAATACTAATCACATCACCCTCTTAAGGGTTGGGGTATTACAAACTCCCCCACTTAAACTCGCAACGTCCTCGTTGCGCCAAATCATATCATCCAAGACCGTACCATCCGTGTGAGATTCTAGAGGTGGCTCATACGACCTCAAGAGGTGGCTCCCGCCCTCTCGACGTAGCACTTTACGCCGTATAGCACTTAGCTCTCACAATTCCGGTTGGTTTGGCTCTGATACCATTTGTGACGCCCCGCCCCGGAATCCCGGAGTCGATACGCTACTAAATCTGATGGACTGGCCTCACAAACCACCACATGTCTTTTCAGCACGTTTTGTCCTCACTCACGCGCTCCCTGGAAAACTTCCCAGGGGGGTCACCCATCCTAAAATTTCTCCAGGCCAAGCACACTTAACTTTGGAGTTTCTAAGAGTTGGGTTCCCGAAAAGAAGATGCATCTTGGTGGTATGAGTATTCCAATCAAATCTATCAATACTAATCACATCACCCCGGGCCAAGCCTGAGCCCGAGCCGGGTCCGTTCCGGACACTAGGCCGGGCTTGGGCCTAAATGGACAGGCCTAGTGAAGTCCTTCATTGGACAGAAGTATCAAAACTTCTGGGTTTTCTTTTCGGTAAAATTTGGACAGAAGTATCAAAACTTCTGGGTTTTCTTTTCGGTAAAATTTGTTCCTCGTTTGTCAATAGCTCACATTCATAGGAACATTAACATAAGTACAATGGCGAAAGCTGAGGGGGACAAAATAGCGGTATTCGGCCAGCCAAAAGATAAATCAATTCCAACTCCAGAATATTCACACCCAAATGTTGCTGTAAGCCTACATAGTGAGGAGAAGTAATACTTCAAAGATCAAAACTAGGAAGCAATTTTCGATATAAAGAGAAGAAAACTCTCGTAAATACAAAACTTCATTATTAACGATTCTATTTCGCCACACTACACATGTTGATGAAGTTCTAAAAACAACCATCGGTAGGTTTCATGCACCTGTAAAATCGATCTTCATATGATGAGCCTGAAATTGTACAATCATACATGTTTACTGTTGACTTCAGGCCACAAACTCCTGCAAGGAAATATTCACGTGAGAAATAATTGGGGTTTCACTTTGTTAGAAAGCAAAATACAGCGTGTGTTGCAATTGATTGCAGTAAATAGAAAATTATATATAAAAAAAATCAATGCTAACATCAAGTAATCGGACTCCAACTTGCAGCTGCACAAACACTTGATTTGCAATGTAAATACATTTCTCACAACAAAAGATGGCAAATCCAAAAGTTTTGCAACAAACTAAGCATCAGATTTGCATTTGAAAACATAGCTTCTACAACAAAAGTGCAAATACCAAAGTAACGAATTTGAGACTAATTCCCTGCAACAAATGCATAGTAAATAATATTTTCTATACGCATGTTTGTTGTACTCGCAGTTGCAGCATAACAACAGCTACTAAACTCCTCTCATTGGAGACATACATATAGATATAGGTCAACCGTCTTTTTCTAGTGACAAAAGTGTTCAATGTAGTGGTGTCAAAAGGTTGGTGTATGATCCACAAAGTATTTGTCCAACAAAATAATTGGTTGAAGAACACATCCACCTCCCCTCTATGCAATTCTGAAACACCTCCAAGGTTGAAAAGGAGGAGGAGGTCTCTCCTGAAATAGTTGCAGTAATAGCTCAGCGATAGGTATATCATGTAGCCAAAAGGACAAAACAAAAGAAAGGTTTTGAGGGGGGCACAGAGACAGTAGGAGGGTGCAGCGTTGAATCAAGGTCTCCTCCGTACGCCACTCTTCATATCCACTGAGGGATGAATACTTCTCATTCCAATCATTATGAATTTGCATCTCTTCATCAATCTTTTTTGCACTGTACTGGCCGGAGTACTTCTATCCACTTCTTTCTTATGATTTCACAGCCATTATTGTGTGCCACCCCCTTCAGTTGCTGGGACCCACTCTTCATTGTTTTCATGTTTAGGCAGCCATCGTGCATTTGCAATGGATGCCCTTTAAGTTACGATATTTTGCATTTCTAATCCATAGATCAACTAGGTTATTGGCACCGAAAAAAATTCATACAAAAAAGACGATCTATGCAGAATCATATACTATGTCCAGATTTCATCCGAAGGAAGGAAGCTCTACCTTCATCCGATAGTCTTGGTCTTGATGATATCGGCCTTGTCGGTGGTGTAATTGTGACGAGGGTTGTAGCCTCCACCCTGACCTTTACATAAGGTCGACCTCCTTCCTCTTCACTCGAAACATTATCATACCATGGCCCTTCTTATTTAAAAAAGTCGTCCACTATGGTCACCATCGGATCTCGGCCCTTCAAGACACATTTGAAATAAGAAGTTCATATGTGTCTTGATATCAATTTTAGCACTTTGGCAACTCTTCCACTAATCAGGTTAGTGGAACTAACATGGCGAAGAGCTAAAAATTTTGTTTTTTAGTTCAAAATTTGGCCCTTAAACCAGTTTAGTTCTGAATCAGATTGAGATGATACAACTAAACCGGTTGAGGCCAAAACTGGTTTAAGGGAGAGTTCGCCAAACTGACTGTTCAAGTTGGTGTTTAAACTGGTTTCTATTATTGATTTTTCAGTGGTCTGAACTTTCACCGCGACCTAGAGTTTATTACGAAATACAAGACAGTTAAAGTTATGGAAAAAGTCGTTTGATATAATTACCTTTGAGAGATGGTCAGGGCCATTTTCTTTAGATGTTTGACTGAAGTGGAGGGATCACCATATTGTTTACTTCTTCAATAGAAAAATTCAAATTTAACCCAATTAACATTATCTAGTTTTTACTACCTCGGAGAGAAATTACGGTCTAACAAATCAACTTCTGACAAATAACTTTGCAGCTAAAGTATTGTATCAAAATAGCTTTATGTATCCCATGTCACTAGTCTTCTTAAATCTGCATTATTAAATGATTTCTTGCATCCAAGAACGAGGGACTAAATTCTTTGTGACTTTATAGCTGCAAAGCAATCTAATATAGATCTCCATTTGAGAAAAATAGCTCTCAACCACATCAATCAGCATGTCAACTTTGCTTACAAATATGTTGGCAAGCAACATGTGATTAATCATGAAACCCAATCTCAGCAGAATGATATGGGTCGAAATGACCCACTGACAATATCCTCCACCTTATGCAACTACAGCACCATTCATATTTTCCACACTTAGTTTCTTGATTTGCATTTGGACAACAAAACATGTAGTATATTTTCCTCTATCACACTTTGCACAAGCATTAGCTACTTTAAAATTCTACTCTAAATTCTACTAAGTTCTCTAGAAAATCTACCACAATCATATATTCATATTAATAACTTTCTGAACTAATATCGATTCTGCAAATAACTTCTTCAATCCTAGTTAGTTCACAAGAGCAGTTCATAAAATTCAAAGAAAACTGGAGGGTTATCGACCTATTTTTACTAAACATAAGATTCTACCGTAAAAGTATTTCTTCTAATTTTGTTAGAGAGAACAGACATATATACAATGTAATCCCGTTGATGAAATCCACAATCAACATTATGAAGTATATTAAGAAAAAATCAAATCATAGATTATATCCTAGCAAAAATACATGATGCATACATCTATAGTGATAAAAATCTAGAAGTGGGAGATGAGATGAAAAGATTAGTTTGTTCAACAGGAGATGTTTAAGAAGTTAACCACGATATACGCTGTCAAGCCGATAATGTACTGATATAATGTTTGTAAACATGCTCATGATACTAGGTAAATTTATTCAAATTTTACCCTATTTAGAGTACCCAAACAACAGACACCCCCTCTTTTCTACCACAATATTTTCAACGTTGGTTGGCTATATCATCAATAGCGACAAGTACCAATCACCAGTCCAACAATCTTGGCGTTATTTACCCAATTCTCTTCCCAAAATACCCCTAGCAATCAAAACGCTCCAAACTTTTCTCTCTCATGAAAATGAAGGTGTCGGCGATACAGGGCCTATAACCAATACAAACTTCTTTGGTACAAAAAGCTGATTCAAATGTAAATTGTCCGAGCAAGACGACATAAGCACACTTCTTCTGTTCGCAGGGACATCCTAAATTATCACACGTGTCAAGGCCCTTGTGGCCGAGACATAGAACATGTGGCTCAAGAGAATGCCACGTAGGCAGATCCAGTTAAGCTAATGGATTCTGGGGTGATAGAGGGAGCTAGATTGGGGTAGAGATTTTGTTGTCCTCCAACTCTTGGTACAAATATAGTTGAGGGGCTGCTTTGGATGGATTGGATGCTCTTTGGGCTGCAAGATAAAGAGAATAGGCCCCACTAAAATGTCGACAAGTGTCCATGAAATTAGTGATGACTTTGGAAGAATTCTTGTGTTTATTAGGTCCCACAAGCATCTAAAAAGGAGGCTGAGGCTCAGGTGGGAGCAAGAACTAAGAAGTGACTATGTTAGGACTTGGGGAAATGATGCATAACTTTGTGTTTTTTACAATTAAAATATTATTATACAATGTGCTTTACGAACAATACGAATACTATTGTCTGTGGTGATTGAAGCACAAGGGAATAGGTTGTAAATTATATAATATGCGAGTTATTACTTGTTAGTGGACAGGGATGATAATTTGATCTGACGGTTAACATAACCTTAATCAAATTTGATTGTGAGTGAATTCAACAAGATGAGAAGGTATTTCAACAAGGTCGTGAACATATCAAGAAGAATAAAATTGCCTAAATCATGAAATTATTATGGTGACAAAGTGGCTGTCAAATTTTAAACATCATGAGAATTAAGGAGCTGTCAAATTTGAAATAACAAAGTTATCATATTTCCTTAAAATCCCAAATTCCTTTTTTTTTGTTGATAGGTTGGATGAAAAATTGAATGTATAACCCTGTTTCAGTCTCACAAAATCTTCCAAAGAGAAGATTTTTAACAAAGATGTTGCTGATGTGACAGTAAACTCGAGTTACTTTCCCCAGTAAACTTTTTATCAAAACAAACATAAACTTTTGATTTAGGTTTTTGGGTAACCATGTATTCACTATCAATGGATTCCACTAATATATGTAGAAAATGATGATGAATTGTTCGAATTGATGGAAAACGTGAAGATTCAGCGCTACAGGAAAAGAAACTGGTCAGTTGACTGATCGCACATGATTAGTCGATTGATCGCTTGCTGATTACAGGGTCAGAAATCATGCTTCTGGACAGTCGACCAATGCACTCTTATCGATCGACTGATGGAGACTTACCAGTCGATCGATAGAGGTGCATCGGTGGATATTGGGCCGGTTTGTAGTTTTTTGATTCCCAGCCTGTTTTGGATTGTGTTTTGATATAAATTAAAACACTCAAACACATTTTCAAGGGTTTGTAGGAGAGTTGTTAAACAGAGAAAAAAGACTGTTTTGAGTGAGAGGGAGATTATTTGTTGGTGAGTGAGATCTTTTGGTTAGGGTTATTGTGATAGTTCAAGAGATTATAACCCATTGTTTTCTCCTCATATAGTGAAATCTCTCCATCATCTCCCCATGAACGTAGTCAACTTGCCGAACCACGTAAATTCTGTGTTTGTGTTTGGTTTTTGCCGTTCTCTTGGTGAAATTGTGCTCTTGGTGTTCTCTTGTCAGTTGCTTACTGACTCATGTGATTTGTGCACGCTTCCGCCGTCACACAACAATTGATATCAGAGCCTAGGGTTTCAGACCTAGGGTTTGTTTTGGATGGGGGAAAATTCGTTGTTGGAAGCTTGGATCTTGGAGATCTAGACTTCGGTGAAGATAGCGTTGTGGAGTTGCCAGTGAAGATCTCGCATTCCTCATGTAGTTGGGAGCTCGTGTTGAAATCCAATCTAGGATTCAAGTTGGGTAATTTCTCAATTCTATCAGTTGTTCGAATTCCTCTATAATTCGGAGTTAGCAAGCAATGGTAGGAGATAGTGGTGAAAGTAGAAAGGTTACAACAAGTACAGTTCAGGTTACACTTCAGAATACGAAGATCAGTATTGTGAAGTATGACGGTAAGATCAACTTTGAGTTGTGAATAAGTGATGTGCATGATGCTTTGAATGCTCAAAATTTAGAAGAGACCATCATGGTCCAGGAGAGGTCACCGAAATATGATGAGGCGATATAGAACAAGATGAATCGAAATGCTTGTGGGGTGATTAGATCTTGTTTGGAACAAGATTTGAAGTACGATGTTATCGACGTGACGTCTGCGATGAAGATGTGAGAGATTCTTAACAAGTATCTTACGAAGAGTGTTGAGAATCGGTTATACTTGCTGCGAAGATTGTTCAGATTCCAGATGTCCAGGGGTGCCTCACTTGCAGATCATGTGAATAACTACACTAAGTTATTGTCGGACTTGACGAATGTGGATGAGAAGATATCGGATGAGTACAAGACGATCATTTTATTAGGCTCATTACCCGATGAGGAGTATGATACCTTCGTGCTCACTTTGTTAAACGGTAGATCTTTCATCACCTATAGTAAAGTAACTAATGCATTGACGAATTTTGATTTGAGGAAGGATAAAGAATCTTCTAGAGCTAGCACTTCAGGAGAGGTCTTGTCGACAAGAAGAATAATTCCCTATCCGAGAGGTGATAATCGAGGCAGGTCAAAGTCTAAAGGCCACTATCAGATTTCAAAGAATTAGTGTGCCTTTTGTAGAGAACAATGACATTGGAAGATAGATTGTTCGAAGCTCAGAGAGAGGGAGATTAGCAAGAAAAATGGTCCAAAGGCCAGCGAGGTGAAAGTCGCTAAGAGTGGTGATGATTCAAATGATTTGTGCTTTTCTCTATTGATTACTCCAGAGGTTAACCATGTGGATGCATCGGATTAGATGTTGGATTCTGGTGCTACTTATCATGTGACTCCCCGGAGAGATTGGTTTGTATCTTTCGAGAAGCTCAATGGGGGTGTAGTGGTCATGGGAAACGATCAGTCCTGTGGCATTCATGGGATATGTACCGTCAGGATTCAGATGCACGATGGAGTTGTTCGAGAGCTGAATGAAGTAATATTTGTTCCTCAATTGAAGAAGAATCTTATTTCTGTTGGAGCTTTGAAAGCAAAAGGATTTAAGATGACTTTTGATAACGCTGTAGCAAAAGTTACTAAGGGATCTTTGATAGCGATGAATAGAATCCGGAGTAGGCATCTTTATAATCTGAAAGGAAGCACCGAGATTGGCTAAGTAACTTAGATAATTTCAGAGGCGGATGCGAGCAGACTTTGACACTACAGATTGGGACACACATGAGAAAAATCACCGCAGATATTGTGTAAGCAGGAGCTATTGAAAGGAGCCAAGAGTGGAAAATTAAATTCTGTGAGCATTGTATTCTTGACAAGAATACTAAAGTAAAGTTCGGAACAGCCGTTCATAGAACAACAAACATTTTGGACTACGTGCATACGGATATTTAAGGTCCCACCAAGACGACATCACTTGGTGGTCGATATTGGTTCGTCATATTTATGGATGACTATTCTAAACGTTGTTGGATGTACATCATGAAGCATAAGAGTGAAGTCTTAGAGATATTTGTGGAGTGGAAGAGAAGATTGGAACTGCAGACAGAGAGAAAGATCAAAATGTTAAGATCCGACAATGACGACGAGTACACTTCAGACCCCTTTCAATAGCTATGTCGAGACGAGAGCATAGAGAGGTACTTCACAGTTAGTCATGCATCACAGCAGAATGGGGTGATAGAGAGATTGAATCGGTCTTTACTGAAGAAGGTCTGATGTTTGTTATCGCAGAATGATTTGGAAAAGATCTTTTGGGCTGAGGTACTTTCATATGCGAGCCACCTCATTAATATATTGTCTTCATCTGCAATTCAGGGGAAAACTCCTATGAAGATGTGGTCGGGATAACCAGCACATGACTATGGTCAGCTCAAGGTATTTGGGTACCCTGTATTTTTATCATGTCAAAACTGATAAATTAAAACCTCGAGCTAGGAATGTCATATTTGTTAGATTCAAGCATGGTGTTAAAGGATACAAGCTTTGGGATCCAGTTGATAAGATGATTGTACTGAGTAGAGACGTCATATTCGATGAGGCTTCGCTTTTGAAGTCTCCCAGCTCTCATCAGGTGGAGAGCACCCGATAGAGGAGATATCGCAGGTGGTGGAGATTGATGCAGCTTCACAGAATCCAGATAAGACTGTATCCACTAGAGTACCGACTGAGGTGAAGCCAAACGGGCACAGTGATGATTTGGAGGATACAGGTTCAACAGAGCAGGATCAGAAACCGATGGGTCAGGTTCAGAATTTTATTACGGTTCGGAAACCCGGGAGAGACATACGGTTACCAACGAGGAATACAAATACAGTGGTTACGTATGCACTTCCGGTAGAGAATGTCGATGAGATGATTCTTACTACATTCAAAGAGACTGACCAGAGTTCAAAGGTTGATATGTGGCAAGTTGCTGTGCAGGAGGAGATGCAGTCTCTTCAGAAGAATGACACATAGGAGCTTGCCGAGCTTCCAAAAGGGCGGAAGGAAATTGGTTGCAAATGGGTGTACACAAAAAAGGAGGGCATTCAGGACACTTCAGTGAGGTTCAAGGCTAAGTTAGTAGCGAATGGTTATGCACAGGAAGAAAATATTGATTATAATAAAGTCTTTTCTCCGGTGGTGAATCACTCTCTGATTCGGATCTTGCTAGCTTTGGTGACACAGTATGGTTTGGAATTGGATCAGTTGGATGTGAAAATAGCTTTTCTTCATGGTGATCTTGATGAAAAAATATATATGACTCAATCATTAAGGTTTCGAGCTGCAGGGAAGGAGAAATTGGTTTGTAGATTGAAAAAATCGCTATACGAGTTGAAGCAATCTTCGAGATAGTGGTATAGGCGATTCGATGGGTTTATGCTTGGCCATTCGTATATTAGGAGCCAGTTTGATCCTTACATGTACTGTCGTAAGTTGCATGGAGGTGCGTATATTTACTTACTGTTTTATATCGATGACATGTTGGTTGTTTCTATTTCCAGATCAGTAATAGATAAATTAAAGATACAGCTTTCGAGCGAGTTTGAGATGAAGGATTTAGGTGAAACGAAACGTATTTTGGGGATGAAGATTGACAGAGACAGAGATAAGGACAGAATTAGTTTGACATGGGTGGTTTATTTGAAGAATGTTTGACAGCAGTTCAATGTGAGTATAGAAACAAAGCCAGTCAGTGTATCTTTGGGAGCCCATTTAAAACTTTCAGCTGATCTCTCACCGAAGACAGTTGAAGATAGAGAGTTGATGTCGAAGACTCCATATGCAAGCGCAATGAGAAGTTTAATGTACGTCATAATATGTACGAGGTCGGATTTATCACAGACAGTTAGCATGGTTTCACGATGCATGCACAACCCAGGTCTGGATCATTGGGATGCCATGAGGTGGATTTTGAGATACATTTGAGGTACTCTCAACATTGGTTTGGTTTTTAAACAGGACAGTAGTGGTGGACAGCTGTGTATTGGTTATGTTGATTCAAACTATGCTTGATATTTGGATAAACGCCGGTCGACGACGGGATATGTGTTCACTTTGATCCGTGCACTGGTGTGTTGAAGATACACCTTACAGTCTACAATAGCTTTGTCGATGAAGGAGGCAGAGTATATGATAATTACGGAGGCTATTAAGAAGGCGATTTGGTTTCGAGGACTTTTGGAGGACCTTGGCGTTTCGCAGCATCCGTCACTATTCATTGTGATAGCATGAATGCTATCTATTTAGCGAAGAATCAGGTTTTTCATGCGAGAACGAAGCATATTGACATTCATTATCACTTCGTCCGGATGTTCTTGAAGATGGGGATGTGGAGCTCATGAAGGTCCACACAAAAGACAATCCAGCGGATATAATGCTCACGAAGGTGGTTTCGAGAAACAAGTTCGATCATTGTAGAAGCTTGTTGCAGATTCGTGTTTGTTGAGGTATTTGAGTCCATTTGGATGAACTACGGGCGGCTTGATCCATTAAAAGAAGGGGTATGTAGGCAACCACATTGGTACAGCCGAATTGTGAAGAGACGACGCATTTGTGCTCATGTGGTATCGGCTCAGTTTTGGGAACACTTCGCTGAGATAGAGAATTGTAGAAAATGACGATAAGTTATTAGAATTGATGAAAAACATGAAAATTCTGCGCTACTGGAAAAGAAGCGGGTCAGTCGACTGACCGCACATGATCGGTCGACTGATCGCTTGCTGATTACAGGGTCAGAAATCGTGCTTCTGGACAATCGACCGATGCACTCTTATCGGTCGACTGATGGAGACTTACCAATCGACCGATAGGGGTGCATCGGTTGACTGATAGCAGATATTGGGCCGGCTTGTAGTTTTCTGATACCCAGCCTGTTTTGGATTGTGTTTTGATATAAATTGAAACACGTTTTCTAGGGTTTGTAGGAGAGTTGTTAAACAGAGAAAAGAGATTGTTTTGAGCACTTTGAGAGGGAGATTATTTGTTGGTGAGTGATATCTTTTGGTTAGGGTTATTGTGATAGTTTAAGAGATTGTAACTCATTGTTTTCTCCTCATAATGTGAAATCTCTCCATCATCTCCCCGTGGACGTAGTCAACTTGCCGAACCACGTAAATTCTGTATTTGTGTTTGACTTTTGCCGTTCTCTTGGTGAATTGCGCTCTTGGTGTTCTCTTGTCAGTTGCTTACTGACTTGTGTGATTTGTGCACGCTTCCGCCGTCGCGTAACAATATCTAGTATTTTACCTAGGATAAAGAGCTAAAGACCAAATAGTTGTATGCTATAATAAAATGACTTACAGTTGAACCCCAAGCAATCCACAATTCACAGTTACAAAACTCTGCTTCCTCGTGAATCAGTTCACTAACCCTTTTTTCTTTCTCTGCATCAACAAGGAAACAAACTGAATTTCACAATTTTATTCCTCACAATGTAAATCTCTTTTGGGACAGAACCATCAATAATTCCAACTGACTTTACATGTGATATGATCTAAATATGCTTCAATGCAACCTTATTAACCACAAAACGAACACTAATTCAGAACAAACTCAATGCAGATACCATACATTTGTATTATTCTAGATACTTAAGCATCTAAGGAGCAAAAAAAAAATCCATGCTTCGTGACTTAAATGGTCGATTGAGTCATACTTTTGTCGTCATGCAACCAAAAAGGGAACCAGAGGAATATATAGCATACCACAGCAGCAAGTAGCACGTAAGCAGAGAATTTGTATTTGGATATGGCTTTTAGTTTTAGTCCACCAACATCAACTTGGAAACTAGCTGCAATAAGATGTGAGTAAAATGAACAAGTTGTATTTCAATAAGGGTTAATAGCCTAAAACTAAAGAAAACAAAAGTTAAAGGTTGGTAGCGATGCATTCATAATACAAACATCAATATTCAGATGAAGACAGAATTTATGGAAGTGAAAGATATTCTAGAAGTGATGAAAGTAAAAGTTAGTGGCATTGATAAAAATTAAAGAGGATAGTTGTTGGATCTTAGTTGGTCACTACTCCTGTCGAGGATCCACTCCAGTTAAGTTTGATATGGCAATCCTTCCTACAGAAATATTTTAGACAAGAAAAACTTCTCTCTCAATTATTCAAGAGTAAATGAAGTTCATCATGAAGTAAATTGGTTATGGTTTCAGTCAAATACACAAAAGATGTTCTAGTTACCCAAATTTCAGAGAGGATACTGCACCATAACAAAGCCAAACATTTCTTTCATAGTTACAGCAATCAAATTACTAAATACTAATTGTTATCATCACAAGGTATCTGTAATACACAATAAAGAAACATATTTTTATTCTCAAAGGCTGAGATGCAAAAGGTACTGCATTCTTCCTGAGGTTGATCGCCAAACTTGTGCATATCTCATCGTTGTTAGGAATCTTGACCCCAAGATTAGTTTGTTTTGATGATAACAAATATTATATGTTGTGTGTATTATGTGCTAACATTTGTTTTGCAGTATCAGAGCTATATCAATAATTATATTCAAAGAGATACTCAAGACATAGATGAGTTCAAGGCAAAATGAAGCAAAGAAGAAGATATACTTTATTGTCAAAATGTAATTTTATATTTTCTTTGCTTAGAAATTTGTACAAGCCTTGATCACTCACACACATGCACACACATAGTGTTAGAACACACTAACACATGCTTAGTGTGTTGGTTAACAATAGAAATCCCCTATGTTAGCCATTAGAGTTTATAGATATTAAGTGAGTCTTAAAACATTTTATTTACACCCCTTATAAATTAGAATATGGAAAAACTCAAAAGACCAAAGTTGTAGGTCTCTTCAAGAGCTTTCCAACAAATCTTAAATCACCTCATTCCGATATCGGATGAGAAAGTTATAGTCAAAATACTAAACAGAAAAATTCCAGAATCTGAGTTTACAGTGTAGTCGACTAATATGCCTTGTAGTCGACTACTGATCAATTTTCTGACTTCACAGAGTCTGTTTAGACTCAGTGTAGTCGACTACTATGACTTGTAGTCGACTACAAAAGCAGTTTTTCCAGATTTCAGGTTTAAAATAAGTGACTGTTTATAGCCGTTTTGTGGACGTTAATTGGGTTTAAAATTATGTCATTTCAGAGGCTATAAATAGGTTTAAACATCAGAAAACAACAACCAAGTTTTGCACTTGCAAGATCAAACATTTTGTGCATATTCACTCTCTAATTTTCCAGATTTTCATGCTAAGTGTTTAGAAAAAGAGAGTTTCTGATATTGCCTTGGTTTCAATCATTCTTAGAGATTGTATAGGCAATATTCAGAGAGTTAAAAGAATCCTAAGCCACTGCAGCACTTCACTACACATTCAAGGCTTATAGGATCAATTGTGTTCTTGCTTCAAAAAGGATTTCTCTCGGGTTTGAGAGGGTTGATCTCTTGGTTTAGAGATTGGGTGGCAATTGGCATGGTCTTGTCAATTGGTGTTGCAATTTGCATGGTCTTGCAAATTGGTCAGGTTTGCTTTTGATTTTGTAAGGTTTCAAAATCATAGTGGAAATCTCAAGCGGGATTTGCTTGGGGACTGGATGTACACCGGGTTGGTGGAACCAGTATAAAACTTTGTGTTTGTGATTGTGAATTTCTGAGATTGCCATTTTTCTTTGCAATTTATAATCTACTTTGCATATATTTTAAAAGAACACTATTCACCCCTCTTCTAGTGTTCTAGTGTATCTATTTCAGATCCTACATTTGGTATCAGAGCAAGGTGAAAGATGGCATCAACAAATACATCACAATTCAAAGAGGGATATTCCACACAGCGACCACCTCTATTCGATGGCACGAACTACAACTATTGGAAGTGCCGAATGAAGATTTACCTTCAATCAATTGGCTACGAACTTTGGAACGTCGTGGAAACAAAATATGAGAAGCCAACAACTCCTTTTGCAGAATGGACTACTTCTCAAAGAAATAATGCAAATTTGGATTCAAAAGCAATGAATGCATTATTTTGTGCACTTGACAAGAATGAGTTCAATAGGGTGTCAACGGCCACATCTGCATACGATATTTGGCATACACTTGAGGTAACTCATGAAGGTACAAATAAAGTTAAAGAATCTAAAATATCTGTTCTTGTGCACAGGTTTGAGTTATTCAAAATGAAAGAACAAAAAGAGGAATCCACTCACATGTGCTTCATGGCACAAGAAGATGAGGTATGCAATAATGAAGAATTATTAGATGCTTTCAATGAATTATATGAAACATTTTTGAGATTAAAGGCTTCACATAATTTTCTTAAAGGTGAAAATAAAAGATTACTTGAAGAAATTTCTGATTTTAATTCTTCTACTATTTCTAATTCTCAAGTAATTGAATTGAAAGAGGAAAATAAATCCTTGCTTAAAGAAAATCATATTTTGACTAATGAGAATGTTTATCTAAAATCAGAATGCAATGATTTAAAAATCCGCATTAATGTTTTAGATAAAGATATTTCTTCTATTAAATTAAAATATGATGATATATGTTTGAATGTTAGTAAATTCAATAAAAGTAAAGAGAATTTGAATAATTTGCTCTCATTTCAAAAATCTTCAAACAATCATTTTGGCATTGGATTTGTTCCTAAGTATTTTATAAAGAATGATTATGTTTTGAAGAATAATAATAAGAATATTCATGCTAAACAAAATAAGTATATATGGATTCCTAAGAATTTGAATATTCATGATAGGAATTATTATATTTCATCTTATATTTATGAAGTTTGCAATTCAAAGAATTACACTTATGTTAACAAATGGAAACCAAATTCCAAGTGGATTTGGATTCCTAAGGGCTAATCCTAATGATATAATATAAAAGGGTACCAAAGTGCTTGATATTTTTATTAAGGTACCCAAGAAAAGAAATTTTTAATTAGAATTATGTTTATTTCTTTTTGCTAATGACAAAGGGGGAGTTATATAGAAAATTTTAATTTTAAATTTTTTACTAATGCTTTGATGCAGGGGGAGTAAAAGATTTTATTTAATGATTTCATGCAGGGGGATTAAAATTTTTATATCTTAATAACATATATTTGTCATCATCAAAAAGGGGGAGAATGTTAGGAATCTTGACCCCAAGATTAGTTTGTTTTGATGATAACAAATATTATATGTTGTGTGTATTATGTGCTAACATTTGTTTTGCAGTATCAGAGCTATATCAACAATTATATTCAAAGAGATACTCAAGACATAGATGAGTTCAAGGCAAAATGAAGCAAAGAAGAAGATATACTTTATTGTCAAAATGTAATTTTATATTTTCTTTGCTTAGAAATTTGTACAAGCCTTGATCACTCACACACATGCACACACATAGTGTTAGAACACACTAACACATGCTTAGTGTGTTGGTTAACAATAGAAATCCCCTATGTTAGCCATTAGAGTTTATAGATATTAAGTGAGTCTTAAAACATTTCATTTACACCCCTTAGAAATTAGAATCTGGAAAAACTCAAAAGACCAAAGTTGTAGGTCTCTTCAAGAGCTTTCCAACAAATCTTAAATCACCTCATTCCGATATCGGATGAGAAAGTTATAGTCAAAATACTAAACAGAAAAATTTCAGAATCTGAGTTTACAGTGTAGTCGACTAATATGCCTTGTAGTCGACTACTGATCAATTTTTTGACTTCACAGAGTCTGTTTAGACTCAGTGTAGTCGACTACTATGACTTGTAGTCGACTACAAAAGCAGTTTTTCCAGATTTCAGGTTTAAAATAAGTGACTGTTTATAGCCGTTTTGTGGACGTTAATTGGGTTTAAAATTATGTCATTTCAGAGGCTATAAATAGGTTTAAACATCAGAAAACAACAACCAAGTTTTGCACTTGCAAGATCAAACATTTTGTGCATATTCACTCTCTAATTTTCCAGATTTTCATGCTAAGTGTTTAGAAAAAGAGAGTTTCTGATATTGTCTTGGTTTCAATCATTCTTAGAGATTGTATAGGCAATATTCAGAGAGTTAAAAGAATCCTAAGCCACTGCAGCACTTCACTACACATTCAAGGCTTATAGGATCAATTGTGTTCTTGCTTCAAAAAGGATTTCTCTCGGGTTTGAGAGGGTTGATCTCTTGGTTTAGAGATTGGGTGGCAATTGGCATGGTCTTGTCAATTGGTGTTGCAATTTGCATGGTCTTGCAAATTGGTCAGGTTTGCTTTTGATTTTGTAAGTTTTTTCAAAATCATAGTGGAAATCTCAAGCGGGATTTGCTTGGGGACTGGATGTACACCGGGTTGGTGGAACCAGTATAAAACTTTGTGTTTGTGATTGTGAATTTCTGAGATTGCTATTTTTCTTTGCAATTTATAATCTACTTTGCATATATTTTAAAAGAATACTATTCACCCCTCTTCTAGTGTTCTAGTGTATCAATTTCAGATCCTACAATCGTCTCCTAAGTTATCTTTCACTTGTATAACCTCATTCACACACATCCAACCAGAACTTAGTTGTAACTGCTAACATATGATTAACTTCTTACAACATCAATATCTTACGCTTGATGCGTCAAAAAAGATTTTGCTTGCCCTCATATCCATTCCTCTAATGGATGTTCAGCATAACTATTTAAATAAGATAGTTAACTATCAGCTTAAAAAGTTATCTATCAGCTTCCAACCTTTTCTGATAAATCTATATCTTTGATGTTAAGAGGATAGATTAGATAACGATATCTAATAGTTCAAGAGTTGGGTGTTCACTCTAATCCTGATTACTAACTTATAAAACTTTTCAGAGAACTGAACACAACTAACATAAATAATTTCTAAAGGGAAACAATCATGCATCAGATGTAGGAAGGATAGACCAAGCATTGTACTTTTTGATTGAGTAGCTGAGCATGAAACATTATACAAAGACATGATATAATGATGAAAGTCACAACATTGTATTAATCAAATTGTAAACTACTTATGGCCACAAATCATACAATACGTGTACGAAAGTTACTCAAAGAATTAAAAAGGTTTAACTGAGCGTGGGTCACTGATGCATCAATAAGGATAACTGGCAGAAGAATCACAATGGTGACACAACTAATTAAGAGAACAAGGATATCATTATTATAGTTTATGTGCCATGAATATAGAAACAAACATAAGGTGATAAGAACTATGTATGTGTTCGAAATCTAAAGGAAACCATAATATTCTATGTAGAATCTACCAAATGATGTATCTCTAATAGTTGATTCCCAATGAATCAACATCGAGGAGAATGCAAGAATATATTTAATAATGATATGAAGGAGCTTAGCATAAAGAGTTAGGTACTAGTCCACTATTTACTAGAATAGGACTTCCAACTCAAAGGAAGCATGGCCATGAAGCATTATTAAAATAATGGGAAAAAATGGTTGAGACTAATTTTATGTGGATGTAAACTAGACAAATTTATAAGTAAATGGAAGCTACAAGGATTTGGAGAACCTCACTGTGACATCAGATGTTACCAGTACTAGAAGCTAAGGGTGAAGTGTTCCTGAGATACCCAAGGCTTAACAAATATGGTTTATACGAAAGTGATACAGATATATAACCAAACCACAAAGCACTAACAGAACTCTGGGTTTCTTCTCCCAATATTCAAGAGACACTGTATACTTTATTCAGAGAACAAATAAAGATAAAATAAGTAGCCTTTAGAGAATAATAACTGAAGGAAGAACAATGAATATGGTTTCTGCTCAAAATTAAGAATAATGAAGAGCCAAGTGCTGAGAATCCCATTGAGATGACACAATCGCATGCAAACAAAAACCGAAGGCATTAATGAAAGTCAGAATCTCCACAAAGATTTCAAAATCAGCATATAAAACATTTCTGCAATTGATGAAGAAACTTGAGGGCAATTTCCAGAGGTCTGCCTTCTAATTATCCACTCCATCTAAAATCCAGGAGGGGACCATTGCTCACCTAAAATAATTTCTTCACTTTCCATAAAGTGGCTCCCATAGCATGAGCTTGGCTCAAATTAAAGAAAAAATCACTAAAATACCAATCCAAAAACCCCACACATCTCCTATTTCTCCTTTCCTACCTTGCTCTTGGAAACATTCCATATGTTTAATAATGACATCCCATGAAAATGAACCCTACAATGAAGCACTCTCACTGCAGAGTAGGACCCATATCTCACTCTAGTTATTAGATATTAGCCCCTCAATTCTTCAATATTTCCATATTACTCCCTCAAATCTTTGAAATTCTCATAAGTTCCTCAAATCCTGAGGGCCTTGCAATTTAGTCCCTCAATGACCAAAATACCCCTCGGTTTATTGCCACCCACCCCCAAAAAAAACCACTTAGGATTTGAGGGGTAGTTCGGTCATTGAGGGACTAAATTACAAGACCCTATTAGGGGCCTTTTGAGCAATTTAAAAGATTTGATGAGCAATATGGAATTATTGAAGTTTGAGAGACTAACATCTAAATAACCCTAACCAAAAAACAAATAGACCCTCAATGATCCATGCATTAAGCTCATCATCCCACCATTCATCCATCATCATCCATGATTTGGTGTCAGCCAACTACACCGAAACACCGGTGCCCCACCGCAAATGCTTGTCACTGCTGGCCAACCAGAGCCTAGCTTAATGCCCACAAGCATTGTGGTGCGCCTGAGGAAACTTGGACCCCATTGTACTCCCGTTGCAGCCTGATCATGATCGGACAGCCGCAACCATTGCCTTTATCAAGCACACGAGTATAAAAACTCAAAAAGGTTTCAGAAAATCTCTTGATAGAAACGAGGGAATTTTTTACAAACACCACTAGAATTTTTGGGGGTTAAACTTGTCTCACTTAGCACCATGACTAACGGCCTTTAACTCATCACGTGCTCAGCATGTGACAACTTTCGAAAATTTTACCTTTACCTACTATATAACTTTCATGTCTACCTTTTCGTGTAAGGATTGGTAAAAAGTAAATTGGTAAAAGTAAAAAAGAATACTTTAAACTTTTTACTCCGTCTGTTAACAATATTTATGAGAACTTCCGATAGTTCAGGGGGGTTTTCTATGCTTAACAATGTTTTACATTCAGAAAAAACAACATAGATTGATATGTTAAAAGTTTTGACCGTATTATTACACTAATTCAAGTTTGTAAATAATTAAGACAACCTTAGGGCCTATGTACTCATATAAGCTACATGCATGCATCATGGCATCCATCAACATCATGATAATGGCATGGATGTTGCTTATGTGTTGGTTTCTTTCTTTCCCTGAGCAACTTGAACAGTTTGGTTCCTAGAAGTTGGCCTCTAGCGTTTCCTCACTATAAAAGGACAATCCACCCTATTGTTCCCCTTCTCCTTTCAGAGCACTCGCTTCGTATTTCTCTGTCCCTACTATATATCTTAATACTCTGCTCACCTTCCAAGCTATAATCATGTACCCTTGCGAAGTAGCCGGCGTCCAATACCTTGCACCATTAACCCCTCTATCTTATGGAGCGCACTATGACGCGATCAGAACCAGCTTCCCTTCCTTCAACTTCAACAATCTCTTTGCACAAACCCAAGCCCCACAATCGATGATGATGCCTTTGGCGAATGAACTCATTTTCACAAGTCCATGCAACTCGACTTCCAATGAAGCAGAAGAAGAGCTACAGCAGAAGCAGAAGCAGCAGCAAAGCCTGGCTGATGAGAGAAGAAAGAGGAGAATGATATCGAACAGAGAGTCAGCTAGGCGATCAAGAATGAGAAAACAGAGGCATTTGGATGAGCTATGGTCACAGGTTGTTGGCCTACGAACAGCCAACCGCCAGCTTCTCGACGAGCTCAACCGTGTCATGAGGGACCAAGATGATGTCCTTCATGAGAATGCAAAGTTGAGGAGAGAAAAATCTGAACTTGAAAAGAAGCTAGAGAACCTTCCAACTACTGAAGAACCTGGTGAAACTAAAGACCAACAACCTTTGCCTCATTGATGGGATGTGTTCTTGTTGTCTTCTTGTCCTCTGTTTCTTTTGTCAAACATGGAGGTCAAGTAGATCAGATTAGTTTAATTCAAAAGAGTTTTATGGTAGTAAGATTGCGTGTTAACTATATTTAGACCATATTCCATTGCAGCACAATTGACTGGAAAGAAATGAAAACAATGAAGGAGAAGACAGTCAAGATAAATGCATTTTCTTTTCTTTTCCATTTTATTACCTTCATGGTGGGAAAATTCTGTATGCTATTTTAATCTAATTAATGAGTTCAGGTTAAAAATGTCTGCAACAAAAAGAACGATCTCATGTTGCGTATGAAAACGATTGAAAGATGTCAAACCAGAGAAGATAAAGGGGACAAAAATGGAACATAACTCTTTTCTTTCGCTTCACTGCCTTCGAGGTGGAAGGTATTCAGTGACATCGTATCTTTCCTCAATTTTGTCTCCTTACAACATATTCCTTTAATGATAAAATGAAATATGATTTCTTGCTCTGTTTTCTTACTCTGCTGCAAAGTTTCTAACATTGGTTTCATCTCATTCTATATAAAAAGATCAAGATCTCAATGAGCAAGGGAGAGTAAGAACCGGAACCATCAAGGACCTCATAGCCTTGAGCACAAACAGTACAGAGAAACTAAAGAAAATCGACAGGAGCTTAAAGACACAATTCAAATAGTACAACAGTATTGTATGATAACGGGGAAGAGAGAACAAAAATGTCAGTTGAAACAGAGCTTTAATAGGAAAGAGGACCACAAATGTCCTTCTTGTCTAAGGTACTGTTCAGGTGGTGGCACTCAGTGGCGGTGGAGGAGGCTAGACGAAGCAAGCAAGGAAAAAAAGGACCAGCACTAAAAGAGGAAAACACTGCTTGCAACTTTGTTTGCATAGTTTCAGATAACATGCAACATTTTCACAATTTAGTGCTTAATGTTGGAAGAGTGAAAGTGGTTCTCAGTTTTCAGAGAACTCTCTACGTGATGCGAGAGAAAACCATTGCCAGCAGCCCGTGAGGCCAACTTATATGAATAAACGGATCGCGACCAATATAATTCTTGACAGTTGCAAAAATTGATTTTGACACTGTAATCTTAATCCATTGAATATACGAATGACTGAGATTTAAAATTACATGGATATTTAAAGTGCATTACATAGATTTGTTGTCACAATTTCCAGAAGTATGGCTAAGATTCACTAGTTGATGTTAACAAGTGTTTCATATACTTATTGATTGTGCAAAACCTCCCAGGAAATCTCATGTATTGAAATCTTGCAGTATATTTGGTTCTGATTAAAGTAGTTATGAGTTGCAAATACTGGAAAAGTGTCACTATTTGAAGGTCATAGAAATTCTTCAAATTATTACTTATTCTTGAAAGTTTATCACATTTCTGGATATCTTAGTGTGTCCAAGCCAACAATAGTATCCTCCATTATGGAAATTTATGATATTCACTTGTTTGTTTACTTTTATTAATATTAGGAATCAGCAGCTCTGAAGCCTACGGTACCACCCCCATCTACCCCCATACCTAACTTGCTACAGTACCACATAAATCTGCATATATATACCCCCTAAGTGTTGTGTTAAGAATCATCCCAAGCCACTGAGAAAGAATAAAAGGAAGAGTAAGGAGCTTGTGGATCTAGAGAGGGAAAAATAAAGAGTAGTGTGATATCATCCCAGTAGCAGAAAGAGAAAGAGAAAGAGAAAGAGAAAGAGAGAGGGAGAAAAAGAGAATTTGTATTTGAGAGTATAGTATGTTTGTACTACTAAAGAAATAATAACAATATATTTTTTAGTGTCTACCACTCCTCTCAACTTAACAAGTGGTATCAGAGCCTGGTTTAGAGTACTTGTATCTGTTTATCGTATGCTTTGTGGCTACCACCAAAGGTGGATCTTCCATAACAGAAAATAAGTTAGATTATCATTTATCATTTATAGACACTAATTACTATTCACGAATACGGTACTGCACTATTCATAAGTATGGTTACTGTTTATAAGTACGGTTATTGTTCATAAGTACGATTGTTGTTCACGTGAAATAATAGAAGCTGTAGCTCGTGATAGAATCAAGGCGGTCAGGAATCTGCTCTCCTACAGTGACCCTATCGGCATTCTTGAAGGCCAAAGTTCGTGTTCAGTCCAGGTCTGTGAAGTTGGTTGGTCAGGGACCAGATTTGTGTGGAGATACTGAAGCAGTACCACGTCACGATGGCGGATCTAGCAAATACAACTACAACACTTAAGAAACTCAATGGCAATGACTACAACTACTGGGAGATCTATATGAAGTCCTATTTACAAGGACAAGACCTCTAGGAGGTCATTAGGGGTTCTGAAACTACAGCACCTTAGGAGGCTGGCGAAGTACTAAAGAAGTGAAACATCAAAGCCGACAATGTTATGTATGTGCTGAAGACAACAGTAGAAGCTCTCGTAGATTACATGCGAGATGTCAGAACTCCGAAAGAGGCATGGGATACGCTCGCCACGCTCTTTTCGAAGAAGAATGATGCTCGACTTCAACACCTGGAGAATCAATTAATGACCTTGCAACAGAAGGACCTGATAATTAGTCAGTACTTTAAGTAAGTAAAATCACTATGTTCAGATATTGCTCAACTAGATCCAGATTCTAAAGTATCCGATGCAAGGATGAGGAAATAATCATTCATGGTTTGAGATCAGAGTATCACGGGCTCGTTGCTGCTACACACGGGTGGCCGACTCAACCAACATTATTAGAATTGAAAAGTTTGCTCGCTACACAAGAAACCCTAGCCAAACAAATGGCCGGCGTTTCAATAAAAAACAAAGATGAAGCACTCTTTAGCAGTAATGTGAGAGGCAAACCAAGAGGCGCGAGAAAAGAAAAGTATGGAAAGGCTGGTTTAAGGAGGCAACCAGGACGGCTATACACCGATAGAACACAACAGCGTGAGGAGCAAGGTCATCGTCGAGCAAGGAGACCTAATAGTAGTTATTACAACTATGGGAAGAAAGGACACTTTACCAAAGACTGCCGCTATAAAAGAAGTCCGACAGAGGGCAATGTTGCAACATCGCGCAGATGTCAAAATGATGAAGAAGAATGGGCTGCCCAAGCATCCTTGGTCATCATTGAAGATGTACCAGTTGACGAAAACGATGTTGTTAGTATGACACTAACTTCAATTGTAGAAGAATCTGAGTCCACATTTGCAGCGGTTTCAGATCGAGAAAAAATCAACTATAATAAAGATTGGATCGTTGATTCTAGTTGTTCCAATCATATGACGGGAAATAAGGAGAAACTTGTCAACATGAAGGAGTATAAAGGCAGCCGAGAAGTTGTGATAGTGAATAATTCAAGATTACTTATCACACACATCGGAAAGACTGTATTTACGCCGTGCTACAACCTGAATCGGATATAACTAAAGATGTATACCATGTACCGGGTATGAAAAAAAATATTCTATCTGTTTTCCAATTAACAGCTTCTAGAAACTATATAGTATTTGGGCCACAAGATGTAAAAGTCTATCAAAACTTGAATCCACCAGGAGAACTTATCATGGAGGGACGGAAGGTAGAATCTGTCTATGTGATGTCGGCAGAATCGGCATACATCGATAAAGCCAAAAAAATGAGACAACTGATTTGTGGCATGCTCGGCTTGATCATGTGAGCTATCATAAGCTCAAGATCATGATGGAGAAGTCAATGTTGAAGGGTCTTCCACACTTGGATATTCATGGAGAGACCGTATGCAAAAGTTGTCAGTACGGTAAAACGCATCATTACCGTATCAGGAGTCACAATTCAAAGCCAAAGAACCTTTGGAGCCTGTACGCTCAGATGTATTTGGTTGAGTAAAGTAAGAATCAATTGGTGGGATGCGATATATGATCACTTTCATCAACGATTACTCGAGGTATGTTTGGGTTGATTTTATGAAGGAAAAGTCTGAAGCACTCTCCAAATTCCAGCAATTTCGAGATGAAGTCGAAGGAGAACTCTGCAAGAAGATTCGTTACCTACGCACAGACAACGGGGAAGAGTACACATCGAAGGAGTTTTATGACTAACTCAAGCAACATAAGATTCAGCGACAGCTAACGTGTCCAAATACTCCGTAGCAGAATGGCGTAGCCGAAAGAAAAAATCGTCACCTCGTCGAAATTTGCAGAAGCATGCTTCACGTTAAGAACGTACCAGGACGTTTTTGGGCGGAGTGTATGAAGACGATGGCGCATGTGATCAATTGGCTACCACAACCGAAGCTGGAGTTCATGTCGCCCTTTGAGAAGTTATGGAATATCAATCCAACCGTAAGTCATTTCAGAGTCTTCGATTATGTATGTTATGTTTTTGTGTCTGATCACTTACGCAACAAGTTTGATAAAAAGGCTGTAAGATATATATTTGTGGGGTATGAAAATAAAAGAAAAGAATGGAGATGTTGTGATCCCACAACCGGACGGTGCTACACATCAAGGAATGTTGTGTTTGACGAAGCCTCATCTTGGTGGACTCCACAAGAAGTTGTGCTACTAGACTCTAATGATTTAGAGAGTCAGTTGCAGAAGAAGCAGGGGACCCAAATCAAGAAGAAGAATTGAAGCAGTCAAAGAAGACAGAACCAAGTTCTTCAACATCCTCGAAGGATAAGAATCCATGGAAAACTGGTGTTCATCAGATAACATCAGAAGAGGAGCGCCCAAGTCAGATAGAGAATATCGAAGAAGAACCAACTAAACAACTTTGAAGATAGACCAGACTCAGGAAGACGAATCCCAATTATGCTAATATGGTCATTATGAAAGATGTGAAAGAGCCATCTACCTTCAAAGAAACATACAGAACCGATGAATGAAGAACTGTGAGAGAGGAAATCCAAACATTGAAAAAGAAGCTAGATTTCTTAGACTTGTGGATAGAGAAATCGTTGCTGAGGGGGAGTACTAGGAATCAGCAGCTCTTAAGCCTTCCTTCCCCACCTACCCCCACCCCTAATGTGCTACAGTACCACCCCCATCTACCCCAGTACCTAACTTGCTACAGTACCACATAAATCTACCTATATACCCCTAAGTGTTGTGTTAAGAATCATCCCAACTCCCAAGCCACTGAGAAAGAATAAAAGGAAGAGTAAGGAGCTTGTGGATCTAGAAAGGAAAAAATAAAGAGTAGTGTGGTGTCATCCCAATAGCAGAAAGAGAAAGAGAGAGAGAGAAAAAAAAGAGAATTTGTATTTGAGAGTATAGTGTATTTGTACTACTAAAGAAATAATAACAATATATTTTTTAGTGTCCACAACTCCTCTCAACTCAACAATTAATTCCTGAAACTTCATACAAAACAAGTTGACAACAGAACAGTAAAGAGAAGAAAAACAAAAATGTGACAAAAGATTGACATATTCATAAGAAGATAATTTTTAGTGCACACGCGCGTGTGTTTGTGTGCGTAAGAGATTTTTTGCTAAACCTAGAGAACTAAAAGATACAAACATTCATTAATACAAAGTTTAGTAGCTGATGACACTCTTTAGTGTTAAAAGCCTTTGTTTAATTCTTTGACCGAACTGCTTGCTTGAGATATTGGTCAGGTGGATAGATTACTTTATCTCCAATAAAAATTGATGCGCGTGTTATTCTACAAATCCAAGGATTTTACAATACAGTGAAGTTTCTTTGCAGACAAATGGAGCACTACTCACGTAAGCCGAACCTTTTTACTAAATAATATTATAAAGAAACATGAGTGATAGAGCAATTAACATCAATGACAAATGATGAAAATGACACCTAACCATTTCCTCCAAGTAATTTACTTTAAAGAGGTAGTATAAAATAAGACAATTTATCAGTCTGGTTGAGAACTGACCGCTTATAAAGCAATAACAAGAACAATTTTTCTCTTCTTTCTTCAAAGGATCTTTTCTGCATTTGTAAGGCCCAACAGCCAGAGGCCTAAATATGGTCCAAAAAAGAGCCTTTCATTGTCCTAGCCTGGATGGAAAACAAATAAATCAGAACCGTAGCACACTTATCAGACGCTCTTTATCTCAATAAATCAATATATAAAAGAAAGATGGAATGGTCTTAATGTGATCAATAATGCTTAACATGCAGTCTAAAATCATATATTTTAGAAAAGCAAAATCTACCACTGTTAAAAAGGATTATCTCAAGAACACATGAGTAAGAAAAAGAACCTTGACTGGCTTTGTCAAGGACAATACATACATAAGCTGTCTGAAATGTATCATTCAGCAATCAAAGCACAATAGAAGTACACGACCACAGACAAAGATATACAAAACAAAGACCATAGTATTT